CGGTACACTGTGGACAGAGTGCCAGTCTATTTAAGGGCTAACACAGAGAGACAGACAATCATTCACACCTACAGACAATTTAGAATCGCCATTTCACCTAACCAAACTAATTGCATGTCTTTGGATTGTGGGAGGAAGTGGGAACCCCCGAACAGAACCTACGTAAAAACTGTGAGAACATGCAAACTCAGATGGTGGATTTGAACTCAGTGCCTTCTTGCTGTGAGGCATTTCCCTCAGTCCTATATTTTGGTATTTCCCGTTTTTATATTTTTTTTCTTTCATAGCTTCCATGAGTTTTATGCCCTCGTTTATAGTCCTGCCTTCTCTGTGTCAAGATGCCCGTGGAACCTGCCATTTTTCTAGTGTTTAGTTGTTGGAGTCTATTCTGTTTGCTTTTGCATATGTGTGTGTGCTTCCTCATGTGTAGTTTAATTTTTAATCTCGTGTACTTTGTGTTTCCTGGCTTTGCTTTTAGGCCATTAAAGCTGCATAACATATATGTAAGTCCAACGATAGGAAACAGAAAAAAGGATCGACTTGAAAAATGGACCAAAAACAAAGGAGGTATGGAGATTGATAGTGAGACATTAACTGGTTATCTCAAAAGCAGTATTACGTAGACAACAAACTGGGGGCAAAAAGGCGAGAAAAACACAAAGTACACAAAAGGTAACTTCAAATCATGCAGGCAATTCTTAGAAATATACAACACTTTCACAGATTTGATGAGGAATAAAATTGACAAGAGTTCTGTAACTGCTGCTGCAAACTGTCAGGTCCTTCTAAAAGCATGCATGAAAGATATGTCTGTGAAGGTTCTCAGTCATCCAGGTCATCGTAGTCTAACGAGCTTGGAAAGAAAAGCGTCTGGACTTCATTAAGTTGCTTGAAGACGTTTCACCTCTGATCCAAGAAGCTTCTTCAGTTCTAGGTTCAAATGGTGGAGAGTCCCAGATTTAAGCCCTGTGGGAGTGTCCCCCCACAGAGGGACAATGGACCCCCTAATGATACTCTACTAATCACACAAGCCAAGGTGTGAAAACGGGTGTAGGTCACAATAAGCCAAGGTTTTGGGTGAGCTCATTGTGAAACCTAGCCCCGACCTATCATGTGATTTCCTGAGGTCAGATGGCCCAGGATGTGAGTGGGCATTAAGGTGTCTGGGAAGGATCTCAAAACTGGGTTATAGATGGCAGACAGTTGGTGTCATAAGCCACCACCTCTGTTCAAAGATGGCCGTTCTTAACTTAATGTAGTGTACGGCTGTCCATCTGCATCTAAAGGACAAAGGTCACTCTTTCAAGGATGCCACTGTTCACATTTTGGACAGAGAAGATGGTTTGAAAGAGGAGTGAAAGAAGCCATCTAATGATGATGATGTATACTTTATTGGTCCCCCCTGGGGAAATTCCTCTCTGCATTTAACCCATTCGCTCAGTGAAGCAGTGGGCAGCCACTGGGCGCCCGGGGAGCAGTATATAAGGTCGGTACCTTGCTCAGAGGTACCTCAGGGTTGCCGTTGAATGGATTTGAACCCTAAACCTTCCGATCATGGGGTCACCACCCTACCTACTGAGATGTCCCTGCCCCCATCTATGTCCACTGTGAGCGACCACCTTTGAACAGAGGTGGTGACTTACGACACCAACTGTCTGCCATCTATAATCCAGTTTTGAGATCCCTGGGGGCGTAGCTGGACTGGCCATCAGGCATACCGGGCATTTGCTGTGAAGTACAGCCAGACTTTGACCGCTTCGCCTTGGGCATTTTTAATCTGTAGCTCTGCTCTAAAAGAACGTACGTACCTGGGCCCGCCTACTACGCTTGCAAAGGTAAAATGATTGGCTAGAATCCAAAGTGTATGACATCTCAGTAAAAAAAAGCACCGGAATAAAGCACTGAAATGTGCGCTGCTTTTCGGTCTGGTTACTACTGTTTATGTCAGAACCGGTACTCATCCCTAAAAAAGGACTGACATAAAAAAATGGACCAAAACCAAAGACGGTATGGAGACAATGACGTTGATGTAACTAACAAAAACAACTAAAGGAAATAATGCACTTATTATTAAAGAAAGCAGAGAAATTTCACTGGTAAAGTTTGTGTTTTTCATTCTTTAAGCACCGGCACCGTTTCAAAAGTACCGGTTTGGTACTGGTATTGGATAAAACCTAAATGATACCCATCCCTATCCTTTTTTCTTTACCTTTTTCTTTTTGATGGACTTTTATTATGCAGCTAAAGAGAGGACAAACAGGTAGATTGGGTGTCCTTTAATGGCCTAAAAGCAAAACCAGAAAACAAAAAGTATAAATATTAAATAGGAACCAAATTGGTAGCTAAATACGGCAGCATGCACAGTGGTTAGCTGCATGTTCTCACAGTCTTTGTGTGGGTTCTGTCCAGGAGCTCCTGCTTCCTCTCACAGTCCAAAAACATGCAATTAGTAGGGTTAGGTGAACTGGTGATTCTAAATTGTCCATAGGTTTTCAAGACTCTGTCAAACAGTCTGTGTGCATCACTACTGTCGTACATACTGTAGTTCCTAAGTTATATTAAAATGGAATTTTTACTCACTGCGTGATATGAGTGTTGTTTATTCCTCCAATAAAATTCTGCTTACTTGACCTAGATGAGATGTAGTATTTACTTTGACTTGCTGTATTTGTTGTATAGATTCAGTATTTTCTGTAATCAGATCCTGTCTTTCCTGGGATTTCAGTAGTCTGCTGCTCTTTAATACAGTTGTCCTTGTCATAGCAGACTACATCTAACACATAAAACTACATACAGCACACACTTGCATTTAATTTTGGTGAGCCCATGGAAGTTGGAGTCTTGGTTTTCTGTTCTTATCTACTACTGTAGCCGAGCCACTTCAAAGTTCACCATGCTGTGTGTTCACAGATGCTCTTCTGCATACCTTGCTTGTCATTAGTTGCCTTCTGCCTACAATTCAAAACCTGTACAACGCCAGGACCATGTGGTGGGTAAGAAGTACTAGAGATGAACCTTTCACCATGGACATAAACTCCTCTGTACCAGGAGCTGTAGCCCATCAGGACCAGTACCCCTGGAAATGAGAACAGAATGTTTGAAAGTGTGATATTACTATAACACTGAGCTGTGTACTTTGCACATTATGTTCACAGACTTTGCACAACTGTTCTTCCTAGTTTATGATGTTTATGTATTTTTGTACCCTACTCTTCTAAATATTTCGGTTTGTATATATACAGTTGTGTGAAAAAGAACATTTTCAGTGAATTTGCTGCAGACCTGTGAAAAACTAAGCGTAACCTATCATTCAGGAACTTGTAGAACCATCTTTAGCAGCAGTAACATAGTCATTTTATCTGAGGACTCATTTCTTATATATAATTTACAGTGTTTAAAGTTGTCAGGCCTTTGTTTATGCACAGGTTTCTTAAGTCCTGTGTATAAACACAGCATTTCGTGCATTTACTTTTTCAAACATTCTGTCGTAGATTTGCTGCTGTGGTTGGGATCACTGTCCTGTTTTCAAACCCAGCTTCAGCCAAGCTTTACCTGTTGAGCAGAATTCCTTACTTTGGTATACAGAGGAGTTTATGGTATGGTCCTTTCTTCAAAGACAGTTTGCCTTGATATCTGGTCATCTGTGCAGTCATCATTATACCTCTTCAGATCTCTGGTTCTCCTGCTCTCTGGTAATATTTGCTATGCCCCTAAAGCGTCATATCTTTTAGAGCTCATTAACTGGTCAGAGACCAATAAAGTTAAATTATTGTGAAGTTAAGCAATAATTGTGGTTTGATAGAACTGTAGGCTGGATGCAGTTATTGTTTCCAGGATCATCTTGGAGAAGGACTTTGTAGGAGAATATATTTTGCATTGTGAAGATTGAACTTCTTCCATCAGGGGCAGGTGTGTTGTATTCATTAGTACACTTTTTTATTTGCCTGTCTAAGACTGGGGGTAGATTTTCATCTATATTACACAGTAACAAGAAATCCAGGTCATTAAAGATATAACTGCAATTAATAATAGTTTTTTATAGCACCTGGAGCTGGACTGAACTGATACACACTACTCCTCATGGTACACCCATCTTTGGATGAGAGTAGATAAGAGTCCCATCAAAAATATCAAACAAAAATGATCAAAAGAAAAAAAAGATTAAAAAAAAAGATAAAATATTTGCATCTAAAATGCAAAAAATAAAATCTTGTACAAGTGATATGCAAGAAAAACAGTGAAGGAGTACATAAATATTATGTGTAAGCCAATGTTATTTTTACTTTCCGCTATTGAGCATCGTGAAAATCAACAACAACAAAAAAAAAAACGTCCGCAGTACCTCCAACTTCAGCTTGTTTTTTTTCTTAGCTTGTACTAATTTAACTGGATTTTATAACACAACGTAAATTAAAATACTAACTCTCTAAAACACACTGTCCTCAGTACATCGGACAAAACTAAGTCATCATTCTGGTACCTTCTTTGTTATCTGCACTTTAGTGCAAATTCTCAAAGCTCTCTTAGTTAAATCAAAAACCAAACTGTAATTCATGGAGCGCGAGGCTTTTGTGTCCTCAGCTGTCTGCTGCTAATAGTATGCTAGCAGACAGCACAGAGTAAAAGGCACAGTATGAATGTGAGTATCATTGGAGGAATTTTGCTTTTAGTGGAAGAGCGGTCAATAAGAAAAAGCTCTAGAAAGACACAAACTGATGAATGCCATTCAATTCAACACTCACCAGTTAACTGAACTCACCTGAGTTAGTAGTAGTATTATAGTAGTAGTACAAATACGCTAATATTTGTTCTGGTAAACAGAACATAATTATAAACATACAAAGTAAGTACTAATTTATTATGAATGAATGAATTAGGAACATGCTCAAGGTTATTTGTCTCCAATTGGCTCCAATTCACTTCTTAAAAACTGTATTAGATTTATTGAGAACACAGGAAAAAGAGTCCA